GCCTTCCATTCAATATCAAGCAGCTGACATTATTCCTTTTAAGGTCAAAATAATGTATCTTTCTCCTCTTCTAGTTTTTAATGATGTCTGGGATTTGAAAAGAACCTATGGGATTTAGCAACAATTTCCCTTTAAAAGGCATTTGGATTTGGAAGTCTAACTCTTCTAGGTTCTTTCAGAAATACAAGCTGTTATTAATAAACTATCATCCAATGCCTCTAACATTACATCAGACTTCAGCTTTTTTTGTGTCCAGGAGACCATATGGGTAGTTTATTCTCGACCACTTCTAGGAACTTCTAACTATCTTACCAAATATTTAAGAAAATTTGTTTAGGAGTGAGAGACCACTGGTAGTTTGGTGTCCATAGTAGGAATTCAGGCAAAGAGGGAGCATTCATTATTTAGTGAACTGCTTTATTGAACTACTAAGCACTGTGTTTATAATCTGATTTAACTCTGAAGGTATTCTTATAACGAGAGATTACACTGATTTTAATGTATCTAGTTCCTCATATGTAAATGACTTGAAAGGAAAAACCTACATCAAAAGTAAATAGGAGTAAGTTTATTATGATCTTTTCCATGAGAAACTAAGAAATCATAACAGTTTTTGGAGATATTCGAAGACATCTTCCTAATTAAAACTGGGCTTATATGAAAACCTTATGAAATCCTGTTTTAAATCCCTCATATCGCTTTACTATGGGGAGCTGCTTTTACCAGGATGTGTCTGGATTTATTGTGGAGAAAAAGTGAAAGTGCTTCAAAAAATCTGTTAAATAATTTTGCAGTTAAAACATGATTGACACAGTTTCAGTACTAATACTTCAAGCATATGCTTTACACTTTAGAGGGATGATTCTTGAAATAGTAACCTTTCAATTAAAGAGAAAAAAAATCCTCACATTATTAGATTTCTGTGGTTAGGTCTCGTGGACAGCAATTCTGAATTCAGTGTCTCCTCCTGTATGATATTACTGTGATTGAGGCAATCATATTGTTGAGACAGGTCCTGCAAATGTTTCCTCACTGTGATTGCTACCAAACCCTAGATGCCTGCTGCCTCCTAGAATAAACATATGGCAGGAAAGCTGCTGGTGGAAATTTTGTTTTATATTCAGTGTAACAGGGTAACAATGGTAACAGTTGCCACTGTTCAAAGGGAAACGACTGATTCAAAACAAAACCTTAACCTGGCAACCTGTCAGAGCGAGACAAGCAGTGATGCCAGTCAAAACAGCAAAGGCTGTACTGTTCCTCCTCCCTCGGTCTTTCTTCTACTATGAAAGGCTGTATTATGTTTACAGTGTTTATTTTATCTCAGAACCTTTTGCTGATGCAGTGCTCCAGTGTTTTTTTATAGTCAGCTCCTGCTCCTAGGTGGAATATTTGAAGAAATTGTCAGTCTGTTCTGTCTGTTGCTGTTGTGCCTGTGTTGCATTTCAGTGCCTGAAGTTTTACCGTGTGTTACTCAAAGCTTCTACCTTGACTGGAGCTGGAGGAGCTGCTCCAAGAAAGGGGTGGGAATGTGGCTGTTCCAGGCTGGGAATAGATAAGAGAAGGAGCTGTGACAGCTAACAGCTGCAGTGTGAACCCTGGCAAGGCATCCATCAACATCTGGCAGCATCTGGTGAGGCATCTGACAAACCCCCTCTCATCCCCTATAGCGTGCTGGGTCAAATGTGGACAGAGGGAGGTTTTGATCGGGTCAGGGTGGGACTGCACACCAGGCAGCTGAGTTTTTGAGTAAGGCTGTAATAGTGCTGCAATTTGGACCCTCAGATCTGGCGCTGTGGCAGAAAAAGAAGGAGCCAGGTGTCACCCTGGGGCACCCCAGGTTTGAGGCAGAGAAGCAGCTGACAAGCACCATACTCTGCAGCCTAAGCACAGAGCAGCAACATTAAAATCAATCAATCTCACCAACAGCTCCTGTGTAGAAGGTCAGTCACCTTACGATGACATTGCTTTCTGTTAATAGATTGGACAATGCCTTTACTTCCAAGGAGATCCTGAAGTGGAGCAGTCAKCTGCTGTCACCTGAACACCATTCTGCTCTTTGTAACACACTTCAGCAGTGACTATAGCCCAGAGCAAATTAAAAAGAGATGAGCATAAGTCAAATTTTCAGTGATTGTCTCTTTGAAAATAAGGTCTTCCATGTTGGTAAGAGCACTAAATAAATGGATTACCCAAAAAAGAATCACCGATACTATCTGCATTCATTGGAGCCAATAGTTCCCAAATAACCTTCTTAAGCCAGGAAGAAACATAGCCAAAAAGCACCCAAAGGCCTGACCTTTGCCCAGCACCTCCCATACCTTGGTGAGTGACTTTGGCCAGGAATGAAGCAGAGAAATGTTGGCATTTCCTCTGTCAAAATATTATTCTGCCCCCATGGATGTAGACAGTCTTTTCAAAATAGATTTGATTTTTATCTTCAAAACAACAAGAAAATTTCCTCACAAGAGGAAACTTTAAAATCAGCTACTCAGAAAAACAACTCGTTTGAACCAGACTATTTACAAATCCAAAGAAATATGCTTGCCCAGACTACCAAGATGGAGACAAATAAATATTTCTCATGCAACTGCAAGGTTATAGATTGAATATCCCTCCACCTCATTTGGTGAGTTTTGGAGTTTCTTTTGCAGCTGCTGTTATTTTCCTGTCCAATGCATTTACTTGCTAGGGACTGACCRTAAACCTGGATGGTCTGTATAATGGAAGGGCAGGAGGAAGATGCCAGATGTAATCATAGCTGTATCAGAGGGCAAAAGATAATGAAAAACCTAGGATAGTGCCTCCCTGAAGTGCAAGCACAGCTTGGTGAGGATTTCACTCTGTAAGAAAGCAGAGAATGCACCACTGGTGCAGGGCAGCCATTTCAAGCTGTCCACAGCTCTCTTTGTAAAAAGCATTTCCCACTTTTCATTTCATAGACAAAGGATAAGGTCTGATGCCACCTGATAATACAGACCAAGAAAAACTTGAGGCCATTTCAGCTGCACCAGTTTTAACCAGGAAAGGAGTTGATCATGAGTATTTGATGTGGCAGACCAAGACCTGAGTGAAAGAGGCTATTTGCTGCAGAGCCACGTCTCCCTCATCCTATTCTCATTGCAGTTATTTTACTTATTCCATTTTCAGCTGAAAATTTAGCTTTGGAGCAAAGTAATGCTGTGGTTACTTTCCCGACCAGCCTTGTACCCACACTAGGAGTGCCTGTCTCCCTGCTCTAAAGACTTTTCCTAACATCCAACCTAAGTCTTCTCTCACACATGAAGCTAATTACTTCTTGCCATCTTTTGATGGAAACAGGATATGTGATGACTTTAAAAATTTTAAAGTYAACATTGGCTGATGTTTATAATTCTGTCTTCAGTCTTCTGTTTTTTCCTGATAGGTCACATTTTATAAATTTCCCCTTGTTCTTTGTTCTCCTCAGGACTCTTTCCAGTTTACCACATCTTTCTTAAAATTGAGAGACCAAAATAGATGTAGCAGAGGCTTTACCAGTCATTAGTAGAGTGGATAATTTCCTTCCATGTTTTATGTAGAGCTTTATTTTTAATAAACACAGAATTATATTATTCTGTTTTGAAACGTTCATCTGCAGTTGACTCATATTCAATCTGTGATCCAACTTACCCAGTTCTTTCTTTTCCAGCTTTCTCTTTTTGATACTGTATATTTGAGTTTTTCTGTTAATACAGAACTTTGAACTTTATAAAATTTCATCTAAGTGATTTAATTCCCCTCTCCCCACTAATTTATCACACTTACTTTGGATCTTCTCTTTCAAATTGCTTTCAGTCTCTTCCACTTCTGTCTTTGCCCAAGTTTTMGGACTATTTCCTGTTTCACCAAGTTATTAATGATTTCAAATGTTCTGAGACCTTCTCAAGCACAATCTGGTTTGAAAATGAGCCATTGGCAGTCACTTTTTTCCACACAGTTGTATACTTATAGCAATAATATATATGTAAGGTTCCAGTGGTTCTTTTAGAGAAGAAATTGCTTTTGAGAGAATATCTATGTTTTGTATATTTATTTCCCTAAATTTATCCTTTAATCTTTTTTTTTCTTGAGTTTAATTATTCTGAAATATTTAAAAATTGTTCTTTGCATTTCACTCATTTGGTTTCTAAGCATCTTAAGCTTCCTGGAGCAAATTTTTCAGCTGGTGGTTAATTGAGTTCAGCTATAACACAATTCCTTATCTGGTGAATAAGACTCCTGGTTGGTGTTTGTTCTTTACACATTGACAAGCCAAGGGAACACTTTGTACAAAATGAAGTGTGTTGCTTCTAAAAGTACATGCCTGCCTGTCACATTATCTTTCCTGTGCTCTTTCGTTAGGACTATACAATTTTATCTGGTTTTTTATTTTTTTCAAACTGCATTTCCTTCATCTGATGTTTTTTGCTGCTTACTTTTTTTCCCTTCAAGCCTAGCATTTGTACCACTTATTTTTAAAGTGGCCACTCTAGATTGGCCAGATTAGAAATGTTGAGATTTTCTTATTTACCAAAATAGCCTCTGGATTTTCCTTGAATGGGGGTGGGCTAGAAATATTTCAGTTTTTTTTTTTTTTATTGTCTATTTGTCTATTTACTTATTTATTTAATTTAGTCTTCTTGGATAAAATGGAGCTCATATTGTATTTCTCCCCTAGCATCTAAAAAGTTTCAGATTTTAGTAAATTTCCGGAAGTAAAGTGCAATCTTAAAATATGCTTAATACAAAAGAATGTATCTATTGCTAATTTTCATTAATATTACTTTCCCTCGTTTCACCAAAACTTCTGAATAAAGAACCATTTACTTCAATGTGCTGGAGTRTTTTCTAGTTACGTAGATAGATACATCTAGTAATTTTTGTTGTGATTTTATAGAGCAAGGCTTTACTCTGTAAGGKTTTGAAAAATAGGATATGACTATATATGTTAATATAAACACAGTAATGCACAGATAATGTAATGCATAGTATTTTTTCAGCTCCTAATTTTGATGGAACTTTCCTGAGGCTTTGAAAAATACTCCCACAGTGGTTGCATTATTAACTCAGTGCAAATACACTTGGACATTAGACAATGTTCTCTGTTGGGTAAGTTTTTTTCAACATTATGTCTTCTTCAAATAAGATTTAATGAGAAGAACTTTTGCACTACAGTGAGGATAATGCCAATTTTTAGAATGTATTATATTTTTTTGTTAAATGCTGGCTTTTAAGAAATGCTGGCTTTTATTAATGACAACCTTCAATATTGAYACCAGTGTGGTCTCACATCTTTGTTGGTGACATGGACAGTGGGATWGGGTGCATCCTCAGTAAATTTGAAGCTGTGTGGTGCAGTCAACACATTGGAGAAAGGGGCTCCACCTCTTGTGTGAAGACAGGCTGAGAGSTGGGGATCTGCAGCCTGGAGAAGGCTCCAGGGAGAACTTGTTGCATCCCCAGTACCTAAAGGGGCTATAAGACAACTGGAGAGGGACTTTTTACAATGGCATGGAGTGATAGGACAACAGGGAATGACATCAAACCTGCTAAAGTGAGTASATATTAGATATTCAGATAGRTATTAGGAAGAAATTCTTWACTATGAGGGTGTTTCCTCATGGCATGAAACTGATGTTGCCCAGAGAAGCTGTGGRTRCCCMATCCCTGGAGCTGTTGAARCCCAGGCTGGGTGGGGCTTTGAGCAGCCTGGTCTGGTGGGAGGTGTCCCTGCCATGGACAGGAACTGGGTGATCTTTAAGGTCCCTTTGAACCCAAACCAATCTGTGATTCTATGATAGGATATGATATGAAATAAAATTAAGTCAGTCAGTTGAAAGTAACCTGTTTTAACAGACATTAAAAATAATTAATCAGGTTAGTCTCAGTATCAATGTTTGTCCCAACAATATACTATTTAATTTTYAATTGCATTCTGGCTTCTAATTTTTTAAAACACAGTTTCTTAGTTTTATAAAGTTTGTTTCTCAGTTGTGAAAACTTGAGATTTAGTTATTTCATTTGAAATGAAATTTCCTATTCTTTATTATTATTAAGATCTGGAGATTGAAGGAAAAAAATTTAATCTTTGAAAATCATTCAATGGTCATAATAATTTCTTCAATTATTATCTTATTTTCAATCTYCTAGTAGGAAACACTTGTATTTTCTGAAATTAATACCTGATTGTTCTTTGTGTTTTCTTTTGTGCGTGCAATTTAGTTTGTATTTTATTCTGAACAGTCATTTTATCCCTTGAGTATAAAAAAATCTAGACAAAATTAAATGAATCACATTTATAACAAACAATACACAAATAATAAGGGATAAGGGCTCACTCCAGTTTAAAATATCATCAGTCTTTAATGTTGTTTCATGGTTTGAAAATTAATCTGGTTTCCATGTTCACTATTTATTGAGTTGATTGAAATTGCTGTTTTCCAGCAAAATAGTGTTATGTAAGTTCTGTTGCAGGCTATTTGTGCTGATGAACCTGATTCACTAGATGTCCTTGAAAGGGACAAAAGAATTTGAAGAGCTAATATTCAAAGTTTCTTTGTGCAATTAAGTTTGATTGTGTTTCTAAAGTAACTGAGTCTCARACTGCAATCCAAATTAGAGACTCCTACTTTCTTGCAAAATTTCATATCACTATTCAAATGTGTTCTGCCTCTAATATTTATCCTCTCTAATAAATATATTTTTCTTCAAAAATTCAGAATCTCCTTTTCTTTCCAGAATAGCCTATTATTTCGATGGTGTCATATAACTTTTTTTTTTTTTTTTTTAAACTACCTTATTTGTTTTAATTTGTAGATTTGTTAGGTTAAGTGGTTTCTTCAGTTTACATTTCTTTTCTTTGATATGTGACATTATCCTAATGATAGCCTTTATGTTGAAGTCCTATGTTTGACTAAATGATTTTGCTGCAACTGTAAGCTAAGATCAGACAAGGTTTCTTCTCAAGCCATAATTCTAGTAATTGAATCTGTTTGTGTGATATGTATTGGCAGAACAGAATGACTAATCTTGCAATGAATAATTTATTTGATAGATGTAGTTTCTCRCTTGACTACATTATAAGAATAAAACAGATATTTTGAATTATTCATTATTTAGATTTAACGAATTTTTGTAATAATAGTAATAAAAGATTKTTATTGATCATTTCCCTGGGAGCAGCGATTCAGATAAATTTGAAACTCACTTGTAACTCTAAGTGGTTAATTTCTGGTGCATGTTAAAGATAGCTTCTGCTACAAAATTGGATAAACTTTTGAGTGTCTGGCACCATTGTTCATCATGAAGTTTTAAAATATGGTTTCTATGAATACTTTTGCATCAGTTCAGAARCTTGCTTATATATAGTATTTGTAGCATATGATTGCTTGAGCATTTGTGAAAAGGCACATATAAACAATTTTGAGCATATTAAAGGTGTATTTGTTTATAAATACATGGAAAGGGAAACAAACTTAATTTTACATTGTTTTGGTTGAGCTTATAAATGATGTAATTTATAGCTTCATTCTTTTCCAGTTCAGATCTGCTCACTTCAGTGGAGGAAGGCTGTGAACCAAGTGCAGAACTGGGTGACAATGTGGAAAGATCCGCCACAGCTTTCTGCTCTTCCGACTGAAGCTTTCTGCTCTGATTCTGCTCCTGAATCTGCCTGTTTTGTGCTGCAGCAGTGGAAAACTGACTGACTGAGAGTTATTCCGTGTGAGACATCCCTGTAACAGGTCTGTGCTCCTCCTTGTATGGTCTGCAGCTTAAAGAAAATGAATCAAAAATCAAATTAATGAAAATTCTCCTTGAAATTGGGCAGCAAATTACTGGAAGTGATAGGATTTTTCTCCCAAGATGACAAATAAAAATCACATCTGTGCTTCCATCTTTTGTCTATCATTTACCAGAAGAAGGTGTGAAGATTTAAGGTCATGGCAAAATCTTCCAGGAAGACACTGGGGTGTGAATTTCTGGTCTCGGGAATTTGTTTGCTGTAATTGGATTGCTGGAAGAGATTTTTTCTCCTGCCGTGCTTGCTTTCTGAAGGGAACACTGTATACAGCAGATAAAAACAAATGTTCTTAAAATAGAAATTGCTATCTGGAAAAGCTAAAAATGCAATTCAGTCTTCAGCTATTCAAATGCAGGTCAAATGACAAGCTGTTCAGAACTTTGTGGATAGAAAAGAATAAGTGCAGGGTCTCTAAAATGTTATGCTAGAAATAATATTCTGAACAATATTCTGAATAATATTCTGAATAATATTCTGAAGAAAAGGAGAATTGGTTTCCATCTAAACACACAATAAATGCTGCACATTTTTTTTAGTATTTGTGGGAACATTGGGACTACTTCCAACAAAAAACTTGATGTAATTTTGTGTGTCATTTTATRTTTATTCAGTTTGAAGAACATACTGATGCCCAGTGAAAACTYCAGTGCTAATAAGGGTGAATAATCAAACATATTTCTTAGTAAATATTTTAAGAATTTTACCTGAGTTCTTCAGACCTCACCTCCACTCTCAGTATTGTTAGTATCTTGATGAAAATGTGTTTTCAATCTCTGGCATTCCAAATTTGTAAGTAAATAATTCTGCCCTTGAACCAGAGTGCAGATTAATTACTAGCTGGACATTGTTCCTCTTGACCAGAGAATATGAAAGTTTTTAACAAAGGGAATATTCATTAATCTAGGGAGATGTTTGTTTTGGAAGACAGATATGTATTTCTGAGGGGAAAGAAACACTTACAAGGTTTAAACAAAGGGCCAAATTTTCTGTATACTTGTATATCACATGTTTCCCAAACAAGATGAWATAATAGCTGTTTGTCCTTGTAATGTCAAGTGCAATGTCTGGCTACTATGAAGCAGAATATTTATTTTGAGATATTAAAGGATTAAATATGTATTATCAGACAAACTCAGACAGTCCTGTTTTAAAAAGACAATTGAAAAAAATCAACTGCTAACTGTCTGAAGAAAATAATTTGAAGAAAGATAATGAAAATATGTAATAGACAGAGATACATCACTTGATGGGCTGTGTAACTAAATTTAATTGCTTCTCTATCAGGAAGTTTAATCAATTTAGGAGGTGGATGGTTAAGACCAGATGTATATGCAGGTACCTTTACTATAGTTTCCTATTTTTTTTTCCTCCTTTTACTATAGTTTCCTATTTTTTTAGTCATGTTACTTCAGCATTAGGAGGAGCAATGTCTTTGCAGTTCTGGCTTACTTGCAACATGAGGAATATTGCTCCAGAGTGTTGTAATCTCTGAGGGAATGCCCTGGGTCTTATTTAACTTGCTTTATTTTTTTAATTCATATAAGGTGTTATGGCCTGTGTGTRTTATATATGTGTCTTTTTGATCCATATAGTATCTGAATCTGTTTTAATTTATAGGTGGTAAGTTTGTTTGAAAACCTTTAATTTTAGAGCACTTCTTTGGTCATAGGAATCCTTGGGGAGTTTCTCCCATCAGCAAAAGTTGTGAATGCTCCACATATACCAAGGAACTTTTGAGCTGTAGACTAAAGATCTGAGTTTTTCACTGCCCATTTTTCGATGGGGTAAAATTAGATTATTTTCCTGTGTAATGGCGAAACCCACTTTGCACTTGAATTTAAAGGGCAGAAATTCCTGACACAGAATATTTAGAAGTAAGACTTAACAAATGCGTTTCCCACTGATTTATGTCCACTCGAAGGGCTGTGCTTGACACACCTCAGACAGCGGCGGTTGCCATTGAAGTATTTTTGTGCACGGTTGTGTACGCAGTACAATAAATATTTGGTCATTCTGACAGCAGAGTTCAGGGCCCTGGGTGACAGGGGAACGGTGTGAGGGCAGGAGTGTTTGTGGACACCACCAGGTACTCGCAATAACAAAGCCCACAAACCCGTGTCTGAGCAGTTACTGCCAGRTAACGCTGAGCTGCTCAGAGCAAATGCTTGAAATGAATTTCTTGCTGCCATCTTGTGTCTAAAGGCTAAATGGCAAGGAAATTTCTGGAGTGCCAAGGGCTGATTTTACGTCCACACCAGGTTAATTCTCTTCTTCCTCTTAACACCAAAGTGTAGACAGAGACTAGTCCTACTGTGAAAATTTTCAAGGTTTGCTCTTAGGGAGAACAGGAAAGTGAAATTCAGCTTGTGCAAGAGATTCTGTGAAATTTTTGGTGAGAAATACTTAGGTGAGTGGCAGCTCAGATGTTAAAAGTTGCTTTCCCCAAGCGTATTCTCAGCAGAAGAACAGAATTATGAGGTGCCAGAAGAAATTATTAATAATATTACTTCCATGACAGACAGGGTGGAGCCTATGTTTTAAGTACTGTTCTCCCTATTAGTTTTCTTCATGAACCCAGGCATGGTACAMTTCCTAGCAGGGCTGTGTTGGGCTCCAGAAAGACCACAAAGGGCTGTTACCCACTCATATATAAAATCTAACAGAAGAACACTGTAGCCTGCAATAGGGTGCTTTTCAGGAGTATCCAAAAAACTTTGATGAAGATGACTTTACCGCTTACATAATTACTTTATTAATTTGCCTCATGGATCTTTCTTAATTTCAACTATCATTGCTCGTGACCCTTTTACCTCCCTGTGCTCCCTTCTTATATCCTGCAAGTCCCACCGAATTTTTAACTCTTTCCCTTCTCAGCTGAACTGGAGCTTTTGGCTGCTGGGAAGGGCTGTTACTCTGTGCTATTTTACAGGGAAGCAGCACCATTCCCATTTGTTTGCTGGAAGGCCAGCTGTGACAGACAAGCAAAAGCTGGCTGTGTCTATGGCAATTTTGGTGGCAGGAGTAGCTTGCAGTAACTGCTGACTGCAATGATGACGACGATGATGATGATGATGATGATTGATGATGATGATGATGATGATGATGATGATGATGATGATGATGATGATGATGGTGAACCCAGCTCATACAGCCATTCACTGCAACAGCTTTACTGCAAACATCTGAGGAGGCTGTAACCATATTTACCATGGAATGAATGAAGACGTTGGCAGCAAGAAATTATTGAAGATGATGAATGTAAAATCAGTTCACCTCARTAAGTGGGCTGGTGGGAAGGCATTTCCAAAGCAGAGGCAAAAGATGGTCTTGGATTGAGAACAACCACTCTCTGTTTTCTTTGGTCCATGCTAAACTCATCTAGATCATCCARTTCTTTAACAAATGCTTGAGCTTCTTTCCAAGCTGTACCCACCTCATCATGAGTTTGTTTGCCAACAATGTATGACCATGTCTTTTTGGGTAACTTTTGGAAGATCTGTATTTACCATGCTGTTTGCACACCTAAATATCCTCAGTCTTTACCCAACTGAAACAGTACAGAGTAAGAAATTGGTCCTTTTCTTCCTAGTCCCTGTMAAACAAGTGAACAACTTGGGGGTTCTTGGCGTGACAAAAAAGTTTGATGATATTGCAAGTAAAGACAATCAATGAAACGTAAAGTTTTTGGCTTAAAACAGTGATGACTGAGGTCTGTTGACTTTAATGAATTTCTGTCTGCATAGATGAGAGCTGGAATTATATAAGTGCAGAAAATATCTCTTCATTCTGTAGGCTCTGGAAATATTGTTGGCGTAAACCACTGGAACAAACTACCCAGAAGAGAAATGAATTCTTTCTCTCTTGACATTTCTAAATAAGCCTAAATGCCTTTATGGAAGATATATTTTGTTCAAACAGAAATTATATGGCTCAGTGCAAAAGTACCTGGATGAAACCCTGTGGCCTCTGTTATGCAATCAGATGTTTTTTTGGATCTCGAATCCAGTGATCTTAAAAGTTTTCTTTGTCTTACTTCTTGCAGATTCATTTTGGTTATATTTGCCACTTTTTACCTAAGACTGTAGGCTTTTGGCTCCCCAAAAGCCTTTCTGGAAAATTGCCTACAGGGCTGTAGAGAAGCTAGTAAGTAGCTGAGGGCTACTGTCCCATTGTTAGTAATTCTGAATAGTCACTGACATGAGGCACTGAAATGAGAAGTCATTATCAAAAGAATTTGGAAGTCACTGTTAGATGCTTAAGACATGTGAAATATATGCATAAAATATATGTGAAATTGTGAAATTGCAGATAATGTTCATTAGATATGGACTGTTATTAGGGTTCAGTGCTGACTTGGTTTTCAGGTTCTATTTCTCAAAAGTTATAGTTTGAGGTTTTTGGTTTTTTTTTTGGTTTTTTTTTTTTTTTTTTTTTTTTTTTTTTTTTTTTTTTTTTTTTTTTTTTTTTTTTTTTTTCATTTGGAGCTTTGGTCACGCTTTGCAGACTCAGGTAATATTTGATTCTGAATTGATAACTTACCCTTAAAACACTGAGCTTTGGCCGTTCACATGTTTTTTGGAGCTGGAACAGAACACAGAAGAGAACAATCTCCTGAAAGAAATGTCTGGACTTTACATAAATTTTCAAACTGGATCAGTTTAGTGTTGGCAAGTGACCATTGGTAATCAACCTTCTGACAAAACAGTGATAGAGTGGCTCCCTTCTTTGGGTTAAAGAACTCAAACCAAAATTTGGGATCAGTCCTTAGTGCGTAAGTATCAATCTGTAAATAGATTTGGCCACGTTTCTGCAAGGAGATATTTTGACAAATACAGTGTTGTCTGCAAATCTAAATAGATCTGAGGGGAAGGGAAGGGCAGAATTTACATTTCAGCTGACCTTAAGGAAAGAATTTATCTCACACAAGATACAGATAACTTA